AATTTTATAATAAAAAATAAAAAATAAAATTTACTAACCTTAAATTTGATTGGCTGCTATATATAGGGTCGTCATGGCGACGGGTCTCCATAAAAAATTTAACTTAAAAAAATTTGATAAAAGCAAAAATTTTATTAAAAAATTTTATTAAGTTATATAATAAGAAAACAATTTGCAAAATCTTATAAATAATCAAATATTTTTATTTATTTAAAAAAACAATGTTGAAAGAATCGGATGATGCTAAGAATTTAGAAATAAAAGAACATATGTGGATTTTATTGAAACCCAAATTCTCATAATCATCCGATTCCAAGCTTCATCCCCGACAAACAATGAGTTGAAGGCCTCTTATATAGTTGATATTTTAGTGAATAAATAAGAGTAGTAAAAGCTCTTGAAATTTTTTTGAAAACTTCTATCACAAATAATTATTTTGAATAAATAAATATGTATTTAATTAGCTAAAACAATTTCAAAGAAATGATTATCTCTTGAGAGCAAATCAAATTCGCTAAACTTTTTTATTTAATTTTTGCGATTTGCTAAAATGAAATAATCAACTTTGATTAGGTAGCGTCGAGATATCTTGAAAGTTTAAAAAAAAAGATCTACATTAACGGAAGGTGTGGCATTATTAAAAGAGTATCGAAATATCAGTCCCGAAAAAAATTTTTTTTTTAATAATTTATTAAGATTAAAACACAAATTTACGAAATCCACAATCTCTCGATCACACACTTCAAGAAATATTGCCACTTCGCGGACTTAGTAACATAATTTTAGTAACCCTCAAAATCTATCACGTTTTCTAACATTTTTACTCAAATATTCAAATACAATATTTTTAATTTTTTGAAAATTAAATATGAAGTAAATAAATCAAGAAAATTTATTTGTATAATCAAAACATTATTAATTTGCTAAATCTTATAAATTTGCAAATACACCCAAAAAAATATTATATATACCGTAAAATATCGTCAATATAATGTAAAAATTTGAAAGAAAAAAAATTTAAAAGAAGTTTTCTATTAGAACATAATCTCTTGATTGTTATATTTATTTTGATATTATTATAAATTAACCCACAAATTTAAGAATAACTCGTATTAAGTCTTTAAAAAAAAATAATTTATTTGCTATCATAGAAATCACCGTGGCATTGAGTAAAGGCATTGTAATTGGTTAGATGACTGGAGCGCCGGGACCCACTTGTTGCTGTACAGGCTGTGCTTGTTGCTGCTGCTGTTGCTGTTGTTGTTGTTTGCTGCTAGATTCTTTTAGAGCCAACAACTGCTTGGAACGAAAGGCTTCGTAGTGAATCTGAGCCGTGGTTTCAATAAGGTCTTGAAGATGGGTTCTTTTAACGACATACAAAAAGAATTGGTGGGGATTTTTTTTAAATGAAGAATAAATTAAATAAATAAAAATACCTAGTAAGAAAATCTCTAAGGTGGACGAATTCACAATGTTGTTCGTTTTCGACTAAATATAAAAAAGTTATTTGGTAAAAGTTATTTAGTAAATATTTAATCGTAGAAAAACAAACAAACAACATACCATTGATAACACCCCATCTGTTTCTTCGACCACGGACGGACTTGCCGTCAATGACAACATTTTTTTCAGATCCCACAATTGCGAAGGGAATCATTTGCTATAAGTAATAAAAGATTTATATTATGAGATTTATATTGAAATATTGATAAAGAAAATTTCTGGCAAAAAAAAAAAAAAAAGATACCTTAATACTGTCATTGAGAGCTCGTTCGTGATCATCAAGTTCATCACTATCGTAAGGATATAATTTGATATTATGAAAAGCCAATTCAGACTTTATCTAATAAGTTTAATAATTTTGATGAGTTGGTTATTAATTAATAATATTTTCGTTAAAGTATACAGTCATTTATAAATAAAGTTTTAACATTTGAAACATACCCTTCGTTTGAAGGCCACGCGCTCCTCCATAGTCAAAGAGTCAGATTTGGCAATAACAGGAACGACATTGACCACCTCCGAAAGTTTTTTAAGAACCACAATATCAATGGGCTTAAGACTTTAACATATGTATGAGAGTATATATATGATTATTAATATAATATTAAAATTGTGATTAAAACATAAAAAAAAAATATATATATATATACATACGCGTGACCCGTCGGAGAAATGAAGAATAAGCAACAGTGAATCCGCGTGTCTTGGATATACCGCTCACGCATAGCGGTGAGCTCTTTGCGCAAATAAGCGCTATGTTGATCTTTAATATACTTGATAATTGGTTCCCAACTATTTATAGAATAAAAGTTAAAATTGATAAGACAAATATATAATGAAAAAAGTAAATTATGAAGGGTATAAATAAATTAACGAACCAATTTTCATTGTTGACCTGATCACCGTATCCAGGAGTATCAACGATATTTAGCCTCAAACGGATGCCGTTTTCTTCGATTACTGAACGAATATAATAAAAAAAGTAAGTTAACACAATATCTTAACGCGTCTATAATATACAATAACGATTTCGACCAATTAAAGAAAATTTATCATACAATGTGAAACAGTTTGGATTTCAGTGGTTTGCCTGAAAGGTTCTTCGGAACTGGTACGACCTTTGCTGTCAATCAAGTGGGCAGCAAAAATGGTGTTAATAAGGGTTGATTTACCAAGCCCAGTTTGACCTGTAACACACAAGTTTAAGCAAGAGATTAGTTTAAGTAAAAGGGAAAAATAAAAAAAATAACATTATTGACAAGGTTATACTTGTATGAACCGAAATTTTTATTTATAAATGATCTATAATTAATGAAAAAACACACCAACAACAATAACGTTGAACTGGAAACCACGTTTCAGTAATTTTTTTTCGATTTGTCTGGTGATGGAATCAAACCCTACATAACCATTAAGGTTCATCTACGAGTATAAAAGTTAAAAGTTAAAAGAATTTTTAGTATTTGAAGTAAAACCTAAGGATAAAGAACGGGAGCAGACTTTTTTTTTTCAACATTTAAGCATACATAGAAATCAAGAAAAAAGGCATACTTTTTGAGGCTCGGCCATAGTTGCCATTTCCAAACTCTTAAAGTATTACTTTAATCGATGGAGGTTTTACTTAGAAGAAAAATAATAACCAGGCAGGAAATTTTATAGGTAGTTCGATATGTAGAAGGAACGTATGGGGTGAGTTTTTTTCTCTATGTTGAACTGAAAAGAATGAAAGGCATGAACTATATAAAGCGTACGATAATTGACAATTGAATACTATTGGTTGCTTACTCTTAATGCGCGGTGAGACGAAAATAATTGTTACGTTGTGCATTGTTACTAAAAATTTTAGGTGTTTCGATATTGTTAAAATTGTCGTCATAAAAATTGTTCAAAAAAAAAAACCAGCAAAAAATGAGATTTTAGTGGTGACTGTGAGATTCGAACTCACGCCTCTTTCGAGACCGCAACTTGAGTGCGGCGCCTTAGACCAACTCGGCCAAATCACCATTATCATTGGGAGGTGATCGCTAACAATATAAATATAATATGAACACTAAAGTAACACATTACCTTACAAACCAAATATATCAACTAACGTTAAGAGATCGGCAATCTTGCACTTCATAATACAAGATGTAATCTTGTTAAATATATAAAACTTTATGCCTCTATCTTGCACATTATCTCCTTTTATAGTATAGTGCTTTATAATTTTGAAAGAAAAAAGTGACTGAATTTTTTTTAATTTTCGAGCTACCGTATTTCCCCGACATGTATACCCCCGTGGGCTATACCCTGCAGCAATTTATACCCAGATATATATATACTGTAAGTATGGGAGTAATTATACTTATGTACCCGGGCATATGATAGTAAAACATACCAAAAAACATAGAAGTACTCGTACAGTATACCCCCTACACGCGTACCCGGGTACTAAAATGGGCCACGTAGAGAAATACAAGTCTACCGGTTCAAACTTAGGGCTACTATATAGGATAATTTTCTTCTAATTGGTTAATCTGTTAAGAATGTAACATTTCACAAATCAATCTTCAAGGAAGAGTTAATATTGAGCCTGAAATACTTACCGCTACTTTCTACGTCTGTTTATTGTATATATATAGAAACAGTCGACTCCCGAATGAAACAAGTTTCAGACTCTGATCATGTAACGATTAATATGAAATTTGTTCTGTCAGAGTAAATGATTGGCCGCCGTATGCTTCGCAGCGGCACATGATAACCAATCACTACGGAATAAATTTTGCATGGTCCAATATCGATCAATATCGATATCGATATACATTAAATCATGGTACGTACAGAGTTTTTAACTCGAGATAGTTATGCTTATGTAATAGTGTAATGTACAAATGTTCTCTATGCTAATACCGTAATAAGGAAGCAATCAATTTTAATGCAAATAGTTTTGTTAATTTCATACAATAAATTGAAGGAATCTGATTTCGGTGAAAGTATATATATTTAATTTACAATATTTACGAATTTTCATTCATTTTCAATCAAGTTCCAAATGCTCTTATCTACTGTATATGGTTATCTCATATAATTGTTCGAAGCGTAGCGAGGACCCTTTTGTTTGAACAAGCTTAAATGCATAATTTAAGGTTCTCGTGATGATCTGAATACAGCTCTTTATTTGCTTCGTACTTTTATCAAAGTCTGATTTCCTAGTAACTATTACGTATATCGTCGATTAAAAATCAATATATATATACCTGAGTTTAAAATTTATACCAATTAAATCAGTGTTGTTACTGGAAGGTCACTCAATAGTGTCACTGGAACTTTAAGTTTCAGTGACACTGATTTTACTTCCAGTGGCCTTCCAGTAACCTTCCAGTAACAATACTGAATTAAATTATAACGTACGTACGTCAATTTTTTAAAAAAAGGGGTTGTATTTTCGTTACATTATGGACTTCGAATACTTTATTGGTTCGTTTCTTTCACTTCAAACCTTTAAAAAAAATTATTGGACATTATATAAATAATCGAAACAAATAAAAATATATAATGGATTGTTCAAAATACAATCGCTGTCTAGTTGTTTTACAAAACCCATCAAGTAAACGTGAAAACCCGATCTTTAAATATTAGGTTTTTAATATCTTCAAGTTGGTTGAAGTTGGAGTTAGCGAAGAATTGAATGTTTAATCGGATAATCGTTGTCAAAAAAATTTCTATATATGTTAAATTTAAAACCGGGTAACCTTGTACGTAAAGATTCGAATTCTCAACATCGAGGCTAAAGAATAAACAAGTATTGTTATATAAAGTTATTCAGATTGCGACTCGTACCAGGTGCGATGCAAATTTGATTGATGACTTTTCCAAAACTCGACACAATTCCAATAGGCAAATTCTTCATAAAAAAAATTTGTGAAAGAGCCGATATAATTAATATCAATATAAAATTGAATGATATAGCATAAAAATAATAAATAAATTAGTATCTATCTGTAAAATTATACGTACCGATTAAATTATGACGTACAAATTTGGTCAATTTTTAACTGACGGAAATTAACATATATGAGTCAAATAAAATTTTACGAAATGAAGGTCTTTGGATACGTACTCCCATTTCATTTCTTATTTAGGTGACAAAATTATCACCTAGACTCAGAAACATACATGATACAGCAGTGCTGAATCTAGTAAATAATAAACTTGAAAACCTAAAGTCTGGTTTTCCTTTGGCATCACTTATTAAAAATTAGATTTTTTTTAAAATCCTGTTTATTTTCGAAGTATGCTTTTTTTTACGTCAAGTTTGGAATATTCCATTAGGGGTTTCAAAATTAACTTATTTCGAAAATTAGTTGATAAAATTAGCTTCTACCGGTAAGTGATTATGCAAGTATATATCTGAAATCGGACGTCGGATTATCCAACGAACGCCAAATACCCAATTTTTTACTCGGTTTTACGAATAGTTGTGGTGTATGATTGAGTAAAGTAGTGGTGTATACTACAAAAATCACATTTGAGTATATAAACCTAGCATACTATACTCATAATATATATAATATATGTGTAAAAATAGTATAGTTGCAAATAATTTAATTATGTGACCTCACGAAAATTTTGCTTACGGTTATAATAAAAATATAACAAATACTTATCGCGTAGTAAAAAAAAAAGATTTTAAAATCAAGATTTTTACATGAATGTACATGACGGAATTTCATTGAATATTTTTTTATAATACATAACATAGGCTTATATTTAACGTTAACAAATTAATTTGCTTTATTCAATTAATCTGAGGTTTTTTTCTATATATAATTACGCGTGTTTTTCATCGAGAATAGTTTTTGGACAGCTAAAATCAAACTTCCTAATTTGTTTGCCCTGAATATTTTGACGTGGCAGTTATAGTAGTTAAGCAAACCTAGAGGTTTCGTACCGGTGAAGTCGAAACCCTAATTTCGATTTTTGCTAAAAAAAATTTTAAACTGGCAAAATGTGCCGAAACTAGTAATTGACAAAATCAATAAAACTGAAGGTTGTAAAAACTAGTAAATCCTAAGATAATTTAAGATAATTTAAATTAGCCTTTTACGTATATTAATATATTCCAATCACGATTAGCATAAAAAATTACCTTTATTGAAATTGAAAGTCGCATTTTTAACCTGAGTATTTGATTGGCATTGTATAGCTAACAATTAGAATGATATGTAAAAAAACAAGTTTCCTTAATTAAAATTAAAAGTCACATGTTGTTAGTCCAAGTTCTAAGATTGTCACGAGCCACCTATAGGACTACCAGCATGGTTAACCGATTCATCTTTGAGTGCATCATCTGCTAGAGCGGTTCAGTATCTACTATTACCATATTATCTAGTCTTTTTCAGATAAGTCTTGTTGGATAGGTTTTCTACCTTTACGAGCAGGTCACACTGCCAATTCTTTCTGCAGATAAGTTCACCAGATAGATTCTAAACCTTTACAGGCAGGCCACACCACCGAACCCTTTGGCCCTTACAAAGTTCATCCAAACCTTGGTACTCTTCTTTCAAGACAACCCAGTACCTTCTCTTTCAGTACTTCCTAGCCAGTCTTCCCAGACTACCAATTCAGATAGCCCGGAAGAGACACCAGTTCTGTAATATCTGCTGATCCTTTTCTTCTGGTCAATGCTCAAGCCAGCAGCCTGGTTGGTGAAACAATTTGCCAAGTATTCTTGTTGCGTCTGATTCTCCAGTCTCAGGTGAAGCTTATTCCAGTAGCCACCATCAAAAGTCTATGCTACATCTTTATTCAGGTCTTGCCAAGCGGACATCCATCTTTCTGGTTTCTTGGGTTTATACAAGTACAAGGTCTTATCTTGGATTTATATTGACTAATACTAGCTTGCATACCTTCATATAACTTATATATTGCATGAATGCCCCATGTTCTCCCAATCTTGTTGGTGCAACCAAGGTTACAGAGATTTCATTCCAACCGATTGTCAAAAGATAGTAGCTATTGTACAAGCAGAATTTCGAAATTTTGCTGTCAGTAGGTTTCGAACTCCCACCTGCCAACTTGCCACTTAGAAGTGTGACAACTTAACCACTTCACTAAGTCGCCACAACCTTTTTATGCATACAATATAATTACTGCATTAATAGAAATATTTATATATATCTATATAAAATAAAATATGTTTCATTTATATATTTATTGATATACTGTATATATAATAAAATACACTTCATTATATAATTATTACTTTATCTTTAACTGCTACTAGTAAAAACTCGTAATATATATATCTTTTAAATATAATAATTTTCAAGATTTATATATTATTTGTATAATAGAATTTTTGCAAATAAGTTATATTAATTAAAATTTCTTGTTATCAGATAACTTTAATAGTAAAAAAAAGAAAAAAATTAGTAATATTAGATAATTTAAGGTTAGTATTTAGTATCATAATATGAGTACTGTCAAGGGAAAATGATACTTCAGTTTTTATTGATTATTTATCTAATTCAGCCCTAATACATCGAGCTTTAAAATTATATAAATTTATAGACTTGGTCTTTGAA